GCTCACAAGTTGCCGTGGGTGGGGAGCAGCTACTGGGGGAGGGGATGTCCCTCATGGTTGACAGCACTTAGACGCCTGTACCTGCCCCCTCCCTCGGGTGATTAGTAACAACCCAGAGGATTCGTTTTTCCCCAGGGAATGTAATCCTCCTCCTAAGTTTTTTAGGGAGTATGCCTCTTAGTCAACGAGGATTCTGGGGGCTGTATCTCCCCGTGACTAGATTTTCAGGGGGTGTGACCTCCGGGAGGTCAAAACAAGGAGTGATGAGTGATGTCCCCCCATGATGATCAGGGAATGGGGTATGTGTAACCCCCAAGTTCCTAGGGGCTAGGAGGTCACGTATCTCAAGAGGTGATAACTACTCAGGTGCTGCACCTCAAGATGATGGGTGACTGAGGGGCTCCTCTGGGTTCTCATGGGTCGGGGGAGAGAGGCCCTCCTACTTAATGAGGGATGGAAGGTGGTATGTTCCCAAAGTATTTGCCAAGTTATTCTTCTTAGCGATGAGTGTTGTTTGGGGGCTGGGTATCCCTGATGGGTGGGTTATTTCTCTCTTAGATGATTAGTGATAAAGGATGTCCCCCCACTGAGTGATCAGGGATTTGGAAACCCTGCACCCTCTCTGGATAATTTAGGTGAGACCAGAGTTTGGGGAAGCATGTTAGTTTGTATATGAATGGGTGTGCAGCTGGAGATGCAGGGAGGCAGGCACCCTACAAGGGAAGAGGGTGCCCTGAGCAAGCATTCACCTGCCCAATGTCCAATGGCCTCATTTGCTCAACTAGATGAAGTGATGTTTAAAAACAGTCCAAAGAGAGACCTGTGCTGGAAAACAAGATTGAGCAGTAGGAGCCGGCAAACTGAGCGAAGGTCTGAAGCTGCCAACTTTAGACGTGGGGCCAACTCCTCTGCTGGGCCGGATCAGGCTCCGTGGCTTTAAATGCCGCTCCAAATGCCCAGATGCCCCCTGCCAGTCTCCCAACTCATATGCTCAACTGCTTATTTCCCGTCTCCTCCTGGATGTCTAATATATGATGTCGGGACCAGAGTTCCCAAATACTCCATCCATCTGGCCCTGTCACCCCTCAACAACCAATCATTAACAAATCATGTTGGCTCCACTTCGAAACACACTAGAATCCACCCACTTCTCATAACCGCTGTTTGCTCCAGGCCCAAAGGTCACTCCTCTGGACCCCAGCTGACGCCTCCACCCTGCACACCCTTTGTCTTCACTTGATCCCACAGCCTGTCTCCTGACAGCACCCAGATCACTATAATTGCCCTGTTTAAAACCCTTAAATGGCTTCTGTTATAGACTGAATGTTGGTGTTCCACCCCTAAATGCATACGTTGAAACCTAACCCCCAGGGTGATGGCTTCGGGAGATGGGGCCTTGGGAAGGGGATTAGGTCATGAGGATGGAGCCCTCGTGAATGAGATGAGTGCCCTTAGGAGAGAGGCCCCAGGGGGCTCCCTCACCCCTTCTGCCATGTGAGCACACAGTAAAAAGACAGCCATCCATGAACCAGGAGGCAGGCCCTCACCAGACCAAAAATCTATCTGCTGGCACCTTGACCTTGGACCTCCCAGCCTTCAGAACTGTGAGAAACAAATGTGTGTTGTTTATAAGCCATCCGGTCTGGGGTATTCTGCCAGAGCAGCACCAATGGAGAGAGACAGCTTCCAAAAACCATCTGCGGGATGCAGCCCCCTCCCTTGCCCAGATAACTCCAGACCAAAAATGCCTGTCAGTGGACACAAATTCTAAATGTTCTCCTTTCACAAGGCCTCCTGTGGGGCCTGCCAAATCTTCCTCACAGGGATACCCAGCAGCTCAGCCTGGGCCTTAGTACATCATCTCATCTCCACTCAGGGCACGTAGAGGAAACCAAGCCTCAGTTACTACTATAACTAAGCATCTACTGCAACCGCCAAGTGCAGGATCAGGTTCTCGCACTCACAGGGGCTTACCTGATTCCAGGTAGCGAAGTTGACTTTATCAGCTGCGTTGAAGGCCATGATGTTATATTTCTTAGTTGTGTTTCTGGAATGGGCAAGAAGAGGCAGTGCTCAGTCCTTCATTCATTTAACAAACACTCCCTGGCTCAGCAATGCTGGGGACCCACAAAAGCCCTCAGGGGTTCCCAGTCTGTCAGGGAACAGATCCATACTCCCCCAACCCGTGCTGAAGAAGAGCAGAAGGAGGCACAAAGATCTGGGGGAGCCCAAGATGTGGGAATAATGGGGAATTCTGCCCTGGGGATGGGGGAGGTCAGGCAGGGAATGTTTCCCAGAGGAGAAAAATCCTGGAACCGGGTTTCCAGAGGACCAACAAAGGAGTCACAACTGGGGAAAAGGCATTCCTGACCAGGAGGCTGCATCCTACCGTCTGTTAATGTACTTATTCATTCATTCCTTCTGTTCAAAACACTGGATGCCCCCAGAAAGGCTTCGGCTCAACCCGAGCCCTGTCCCCAGGTCCCTGCTAGTTAGGAGGGAGAATCACAAGAGGTGCCGGGCTTGCCTAGAAGCTCAGCAAGGTTTTGATCCCTTCTCGTGGGAAGTGGGAAGAGGGCTCAGGGACTTACTTGGGAACTCGAACGACATACTCAGTGACGTTCTGGCTGCTGGGGCCCTGCGGGTACAGAAGGAAGGACGGTGAGTGAAGGGTCGCAGAGGCCGCCGCCGGGATCCCCCAGTTCCGCCGCATACTCACGAGGGCCGCCATGAGTGACGATCGGTGGTTCGGGTCCGGTCCGCGTCCCTCGGTCCCGGGGAAGCCGCCCTCGCGGTGTCGGCTCTCTGGCCCCGATCGAGGACCCCAAGCCCGAGGTGCCACCGATCCCGGGAGCAGCTCCCCTGAAGCGGTGCTCAGTCGGCCGTCCGTCTCGAGGACCACTCCGGCCACGTCTGCGCCTGCGCCTAACCTGGAAGCGAAACTCGGGTCGCGTCGCGATGGCAACCTCCTCCGCCTCACGTACCCCTGTCTCCTTCCAGAGGGAAGAGGCCAACCCGAACCCGAGCTAGAAATCACACCGTCTGCCGCTCGCGCGGGGTCTCGCCTCGCTATATGCACGGTTAATTTAATCAGCTCTGCGGCCACGCCTCCCTCGACGTCACACCCGGAACCGCTGGGCATCCTGGGAGGGGAGGGAGAAACTAGCCTTCCTCGCGAGCTCTCGGGCGCCCAGCGCATGCGCCACTCCACTCCGGAAGTGAGTCCAAGGAGGGCGCGTCACCATAGCGACCGAGGCCTCTTCCGCAGCAAAGTGCTGCGGCTCCACCTGAGCCTCTTTGGGTTCATTTCCTCCTTCTGCCCCGGGGACACTTCATCATCTCGCCAAATGATCGGGCCCTTGTGACGTTGAGCCGAACCAGGAGGAGTCAGGGCCTGGGTGGGGATGGGGCGCGACCACCCCACGGGCCGCTGGTGGGATGGGTCTGTGGAGGTCCAAGCTGCCTCAGATGGGCAGGGCCCTGAGACCCCAGGAGAAGGGTAACATCGCGGGGGCGGCTGGCTCACGGGCGGGGGGGAGGAAGGAGGCTGTGAAGGGCGTGAGGGGGGTGCAGGTGTCCAACACCCCAAGTCCAGCGTGCACACGCCCCCCCTCCCCCCCGTGATAGTAACACAACTGCACATGCTCAAGGATCAGCCATGCTGATCCACTTGGGCACCTGCTGTGCGGGGTTCTGGGCACTCCAGGGTGAATGTGTCAAACTAGCTCCCTGGCCTGGAGATGAGAGTGTAGTGAAGGAGACAGTCTCAGAAAATGGCATCTACAAGCAGGAGGGAACAGGGCTGCCACAGGGAAAGAAGAGCCGGGTCTCAGGTCTCAGGGAGGAGGGGAGATTTAAGCTGGGCCCTGTGAGTTGCTAGGAATTCACTAAGCCAAGGCGGAGGGAGGGAAGCAAGACACCAACATTGCATTATAAACTACTGCACTCCATGGGCATTCCTGGTAGCCGTGGACGTTCATTTACTCATCACCCACTACTATAAGTCAGGAACTGTGCCAATTAATAGAAACATAGGGACCAGCAAGACAGAAACAGTCCTTGCCCTCATGGAGTATAGTCTGGCAGCAGAGACAGACAAGAACAAGTAAACAGGCAAAATCATCGCTGATCATGGCCGCTGCTATGGAAGAAATGGAGCTCTGGGATGGAATGATGGGGAGGGAGTCTCTTAGAGAAAGCCTGATGGGGGGGGCTGTGACCTGAAGGTAGTGGAGGGGGGACTTACCGTGCAGGGGGAACATCAGGAGAGGGCTGAGTGTGGCAAGTTTAAGGGACAGAAGAGGCCACTGGGGCTAGAGCAGAGTGGAGGAAGAGAAGGGTGGTGTGGGGTGGTCTGGAGGATGGGCGAGTTCCTGCCCTGCTCTGAGCCTGTTTCCGCAACTGTAGAATGGGATGATAGAGTCATTGAGATTCTTCAAGGAGATGCTGTGTGCAGAGGGCCAGGCCTGCTCAAGTTCACATCTGCTTCACAGCGACCCATAACAGCACTAATGCATGCCATGCCTGGATATACCATTAGGCATGGATATGCACCCCCAAATGCCACCCTAGGGCAAAAGTGAGTATGCCAGGAGACCCGTGTCCAGTGTCACTCACCAAGGACACACACTAGGCTGTGGACACAGTCACATCGGTGCGTGCTGGTCCCTGCAGGCACCAAACCCTCTCCCCACCTCTTCCCTGGGCCCCCCAGACATCCTCAAGTCCCCCCTGATCATCTTCGTGATGGGCGGCCCAGGTTGTGGCAAAGGGACACAGTGCAAGAACATGGCGACCAAATATGGCTTCTGCCATGTGGGGCTGGGCCAGCTGCTGCGGCAGGAGGCCCAACGCAGCACCCAGCGGGGCCGGAAGATCCATGACATCATGCTGCAGGGGCTCCTGGTGCCCATGGTGAGAGCTCACAGGCTCCGGGGCAGAGGGAAGAAGAAGGGGGTACATTAGGATGAGCTTCCCTGGAAGCCCTGTGGAAGTAGATAGGCCCAGAAGGCCACGGCTCCTGGCCTGGCCACTGCCTTGCTACCTGAGTCTCCGTGTCCTCACCTGTAAAAAGGGGAGACCAGCTGGACCCACAGCAGGAGTCTGTAGTGAGTGTTGGCTGATGTCATTCCTATAAAGCACATGGCAAAGTGCCTGGCACTTCACAAGCACTTGGTAAAGTTTGCTAGTATTTATTCCTTTTGTGACCTTGGGCGTCTCTATCACCGGCCCCTTCTGTACCTGTTTCCTCACCTGTAAAATGAAGGTCACCCCTGTACCTGGCACACAGTAGCCACTTGCCCAGTAGATGGGCTTTGTGCATCAGAGTGGCCCCAGGACACCAGAGCAGACCCAGAATCCCAGGCCCTGGGGAGGGCAGGTACTCCCTGGATTCACCTGAAGTCCAAACTGAGGGAGAGAACTTGACAAGGTGGCCATGTAGGTGAGGGACCCTGGAGCACTGAAGCCGCCACCCCTTTCCTTCCCAGGGCATCATCCTAGACATGATCAGCAACGCCATGTTATCTCGCCCAGAGAGTCGGGGCTTCCTCATTGACGGCTTTCCGCGGGAGCTGAGGCAGGCCAAGGAGTTTGAGCGCATTGTGAGTGACCCCAGGGGGTGTGAGTGTGTGGTGAGGTGTAAAGCCACTCCTCCCTCCCCACCTCGGATGGAGTCCAGAAGGGGTGAGACTCGGGGGAGAGGAGATGGCAAGGGGGCAATGGCGTTTTATATTGTCAAGGGACAGTCAGGAGACTGTTGGAAGCTTCTAGAACCTGGTGAGCTGGCCGGGACAAAGTCATATTAATATCTTCCTGCACATAGATTATCTGCCCACTGAGTAGCACGTGGATTTAGCATCATCTCTGGGCCATAAGGATGGAGTATAGTTATTCGTTCATCTATGTATTTAACCACCTGTCCCCAAATAGTTTGAGAACAGGCTCTGTCCTTAGGAGTTCATGGGACAGGCTCAGTCCCTGCTCTTCGGATGCCAATAGACAGGCACTGACCAATGCATGACTTGCTGAACAAAAGAGAGACGTTTCTGGCAGCAGTAAATGCAGTCAAGAGCCGGAGACAGAATGACATCCTGGAGGGACTCAATGGGCTGTTTGGGTTAGGTGGTCCCCATTGGCCTCCTCGAAGTGAGGACATCGGACAACTGAGCTGTGCAAGGAGGAGCCAGCCGGTGCTGGCGAGTTGGACTACCTTTCTTCAGGTTACTTCTGCAGGCCAGCACCGCAGACATCACGAGAAGGCCCATCCACACACCAGGACAGCCATGGCTGGAGCGTCTGGAAACAGCCGAGCAGGACAAGAGAAACGGGCAGATTGTCAGCCTCCAGGCTTTTCCCGGAACTTGCCAGATAGGGTCAAAATGCCTTTAAAGAAGTCCAGGTGAGAATCAAACAGAGGTTGCCCAGGGCTGGGGCAGGTGGGGCCTTGCCCTTTGTCTGCACCTGCTTGGGAGCAATTTCTGTCGGGCTCATCCAAGTGACTCTCAGGGCAAATATTGGGCTCCCTCTCCTGGTCTGGGCGCTCTGAGGGCAAAGGCCGGGCTCATGAATCTCTCAGCCCTGGGCCGGTGCCCAGCCTACAGTAGGCCCCAGCCCTCGATGCCAGCTCAGCGGACTCCACAGGTGCCACAGAGTCTCAGACCAGAAGCTGCACACCCCTGATCCTCAGGCCCCATGTGGTCCACCAATGGGTTCCGTTTGGACTCTACAGGTTTTTAAGGCCAAGCTTCGAAACTCGGGAGATGCCACATCAAAACTCCCAGCTTCCCTTGAAAATCGCCTGACTTGGTAGGCACAGGGCCTGCATGTCCCCATGGCAACAGCAGCATGAATGCATCTTGAGCTTTATCCTGAGCCCAGCGCTGTTCTTGACACTACACGGAGGAGCTCTGATCTTTTGGAATGTTCCAGAAAAATCTTTCTTGCACCATCAGCATCCTGCTTTTTTACAGAGGGATTGGGTGACTTGCCCGGGATCACATAATTTAGATGGTGGACGCAGGCCATACACCACGGCAATTGGTTCCAAGGCCTAGATTTTAACTACGTCAGCGGGGGACCCTTCTCCGCCTCCCGGTGGTCTCCCCGCTACACCCGCGGAAGGTTGCCTCTCCATCACGGAGGCCGAGCGCCATCTGCCATGTAGGATCATGCTTTTGTTGGGGTTTTATGCTAAGAGGAACAGAACGCATGCTTTCCTCTTGTGCCCGTGTGGCTGCCAAAAGTGCAAAAATGAAACAGGGCTCTGGGTTAGGAGAGTGGATTTTCTTTGTGGAGAATTTTCTAGGTCTCTGCGAGCTGCCAGGCCCCTGTTGGCCTTTGAGGACCCTGGAGGCCCCTGCCTTAGGTCTGTCCGGGGGTCCCCGGAGGCACCCAGCTTGGTCCTTCCATCCCGACCCTGCTGGGCTGGAGTGTCTCTTTTAGGGCGGTCTCTGATGCTGATGCGCGTATGGAGCTCGGGTCACACTCAGTCACTTTCTCCACCCGTCTGTGACTCGCACGAGACTCGGCCTCCCAAGCCTCAGTGTCCTCATCTGCGCATATGGACAGAAGTGCTACAGGCATCTCCTCGATGTGGGGAGATGGGGAAGGCTGATTCCCGAGACAGTTTCCTGTCTGTTTCCAAGATTGATTCGGTCACTTGTGCACCTGTCTGAGAACACAGCTCCGGGGAGCCGAGGCCCCGGGGTGGGTGGCCTATGTCAAATGAGCACGCGGGGACTCCCCACCAGGAGGCACTCTGCACAAGGGGCGGCGAGGAGGACCAGATAACCACGTGCAGCTCCGATGCTTATCGTCAGGTTGGACTTGCTTGGAGCATCCGTGACCAGTCTCCCTGAAACGCCCAGACACAGGACTCATTTCTCTGGGTCCATGCTTCTCCCAAAAGTGCCACCTGCAGGGAAACTCCCCTGTTCACAGAAGAAGACTTTTAAATAATTACATATTTTTAAAAATTTTTTTTGTTAATTAGAGGCTCACGGGAAATTGCCCTGTACCCTTCACCCAGTTCCCCCCAGGGGGGTGGCATCGTCCAGTATCACAACCAGGCTGTTAGCGTTGCTGCGTATTTGATTTTAGTTGCCTCCGGAGCAAGGGATGCTCTCTTTCCATTTCCCGAAGTGCTCTCATTGCCCACCC